GATCTGCCCGCATTCAGAACCCTCCACCAGAACCGATTCCAGGGAAATGGCCATATCTCGGTTGATTATAAGTCGATTATAGTTCTTGGCATATGATTCGCTTTAAAAATGGTTCTTCTTTCGTTGTATTTACTAAAAATATATTTATTTAATCAGCATCATATTTAAAATTTCACCAAAAATTTAGCAAGTTAGACAAGCCCTCCGGAAACCCAGAATATCTCCGGTATCCGGTGACCAGGTTTATTTTCGTGGCAACACCGTAGAACAATATTAGTTTTCCAGTCAAATACTCTTGGAAGATTTAAAATCGGATCATATTTGACGAAGTTACAACACTCCAAAGTTGACCAAAAATTTGCCTATCCTAGTTATTTTGAGTAATTTTTTTTTTTTATTATCTTTATTAAGGAGAGGAGTTTTTTTTTGAGTAACCCCTGTTGAAAACACTTAAGTAATATGTTTTTTGGCTCAAATTGTGCTACAATTTTCCAAGGAATCCAAATCCGAAGTCAGATTTCACATATAATGTATTTTAAAGAGTTTAATATAAGTAAGTATGGTAAATTTTGAGGTACGTTAAAAATGACCCTCAGATTCGGAAGGTCCGCTATTGGTGCCATACATTGGTGAAAGTTTTGGAAGTTTTAATGAAGATGTCCGAAAAATCTCCTGTCTATTCAGCAGGACACCCTAAAACAAGGAATTTGCATTAATTGCAAATTGCAATTTGCATTTGTTCAAAATCCTTGAGGGTACGCTATTTGGCTCTATATTCGCTCAAGAATTCTAAATTCAATTCAGGAGACCATTAACTTCTCCTTAAAATTCGCCTGGCATTCTAAACACATTCCAATTTTTCTTCTGAATATTCAAATGTCCAAGTGTCAGTATCTATGCAGACCTCAGCATCTTGAAAAAAAAAATTCAGAAATTAAAAAAAGTAGGGGAAATGGCCCTAATGTTGGCCTATGGATCATTGGGACGGTACTAATGGATATTTTTGGTCGCCCAAATGAGGGGCATTTAGGCCGACATTACATCCATTTATCCTGTTCCGTATTTTAATTTCTAAATTCATTTCAATTTAATGAACCATTTATTGAGGAAATGTTGATTCTGTAGCTTTGGAAATGTCCATAACCATGTTGATAGGTTAAAGAGGGGGAGGGTAGTGTTCAAGCTAACATAAAAAATATTCGGATGCAATTCCATGTATGGATAGCAATAGTTTACGGCCAGCCCCTCAGAATTTTTTTAAAATCTTAGATTTCGAAAACGTTTGAAATCAATAAGCTGGACCTTTTTTTCAATTTAGAGTTTTCTTTTAATTGTTACAGTCTTGGAGTTGTTCACCAAAATTTTAAAAATTTCTTAAGCACTAATATATGTTTTTTTTTTTTTAATTTGAGCATTTTTATGTCGTTTTCGTTTGCCTGCATTTTTCGATGGACAGCGGTGTAACACCGGTGTAGTTAAATGCCTTTTTAATATGTTTCGTTGTAAAGTCAATTTTCTTATCACATTTTGAATTTTCAAGAGCGCATGTCTCAAGATTTACAATGCTTAAAAATCTTTAAATTTCAAACATTGCTTGCTTCTCCGCAGCAGACAACGTGGACACTATGGGTCCCATTTTGGCAGCACGTCTACAATGTTTTAAGAGCCTCAAACCCTATATAATATAGCTTCGGGCAATAATTGCAAAGCTTTCGTTGGACGTGATAAAATCTGGACCAACTATTGAAATAGGCGGAACAACCAAACGTAAACAATGGCTTTAAACGCAACAATTAACAATTTCATTCGATAAAGAAAGTTTGCTTTTTCAGATGCTGGTGTTATATTGTAGAGATGAACTAGCCTAAGGCTAAAAATCTCTTAAATAAAGAATAAAAAAAAAAATGGTGTTAGATTGCGTGGATGTACCTTGATTTTCGAAAAATTTGCGTTTAAAGCCATTGTTTACGTTTGGTTGTTCCGCCTATTTCAATTGGGTTCTTTAAGGGGTTTTAAGGTAATTGGATATTCGTAAACTACATCCCAAATGGAACCGAAATCCAAAATTTCATCTATTTTGGAGCACTGGAACTGTTTTAAATAAGTGTGATTACATAAGCAACAATCACCATCTTAGATAGAAGTAAATGGGATCGAAAAAAATATCGTTGTGCTCAGAAAACGAAGCCCTTTCAGATGATGTATTGAAACCGATATATTTTTCAAAATTAAAGAACCCAATTGTTGGTCTAGAAATAAAATTGGACTCTTACTGTAGTTGTTTCAGCTTCGTGCTACATGAAATCTTCTTAAGTATCCATTGTCATCTTCATTTCAAATATTATTAAAAACTATTAATCAAATGCCCTGGAATTTTGTTAATTTGTAATCATCTTTAATTTGTCTTGCTTAAATTTTACTAAAAATTCGTTCTGTACGAGCAAATTTACAACAGTTTAATTTTTTTTAAGCGCAAATAACATAGGGAAAATGATGGTAAAATGACCAAATATTTTTTCTTAGTGATGAAATCATTTTTAATGCTAGAAATAAAAATGAAGGAGGGGCAGGAGATGCATCGGCTGAATGGCCTGTGTGCTAATTAATTGAAATTTTGACGAATGCATTCAAGTGTTGCTTTTACCAGGGTGGCCAGCAAACCGGGAAAACCGGGAATACCGGGAAATATCCGGGAATTTCAAAAGTAACCGGGAAAACCGGGAAAAACCCGGGAATTCGGTGAGAGAACCGGGAAAAATAGGAACAAATTTTAACAACAGAATTTCAGAATAAACCATTAAAACAGAGTAATCCTTTACCAAATGAATGTCTTGCTCTATTTGCTGCATAATTTTCTTCAGTTTCCCGTCTTATTGTTTTTAGAATTTAATCACTCAGCAATATTGCAAATTAATATTTGTCGTTTCAATTTCAGATGTAAAGTGCTTGGTCCTTAAACAAAAATATTGAATTTACGGCTTAGCGACTATCCCACCGGTGCCCTAAGATTTTTTCGCAAATTTTCTCACGCACACGTCTCTTACCGATGATATGTGCTTACCTCTCAGTATGTTCAACTTTCTCATTGAAAATATTGAAGATGCTGGACTTTGGAAACAAACATTTGTAAAAACCGAATCTGAATTATTCTTTTGCACGGTTTAATTTTTTCGTTGTTCTAAATTCTCATGATTTGAATTCCATAATTACCTTGGAATTCTGCTCTGAATTATCTTGAAATTGTTCTGAAATAAGCCAGAAAACACCCCGCGTAATAGTTACCAGTGAATTCTTCTTGGAATTTCCTTGCAACTCCTTCTAATCATTTAATTGGAATCCTTCTTAAAATACGCCTCTTTAATAGAAACTAAACGATCGATTCAACCTCTGGTGGTAAATAGAAGGACGTTAAAAAGAGTGTTGTGAGCAGAAATGTTTGTCGTGAGACATAGGAAGCGGAACACTTTTTTACTTTTCCTGATAAATTGATTAATCTGAGACGCTCCAAAACTTTATTTACAGTTTAAATATTTTATTCTGTATCGTTTTTGCAAGGATCCTGGTAGTGTCCAGGAATATTTTTGGTGGGAAAAATGGAAAACTATAAAAGTGCCTTAGTGGTTATTATATTCTGGATTTGTATATGAATAGTTCAAGTGCAAATCAGTTCAGATCTGTGAAAATTCGTAAAATATGGCAACTACTGATGGAAGTTGGCAAGATGTTGAATGAAAAATGCTCTAATTTGCGTTGTGAAAAATCCTCATTCTGATGTAAATAAATGGTTTGGCTGACGTTTTCTCTCGAATTCGCTTGGCGCACTCTACATTGGTAGTGCATTTAAAAGACCTATTCTCTTGAGCCTATCTGGACATTTCGATTCCTTTTAAAATCTTTTAACTCTATTCAAAACAGCAGAACTCTTTCGAAAGAATTTTTTTCTAATTATCAGCAATTTTGTTGCAATCAATTTTGTTGAAGTTCTGTGATGAATCTTTCGCACTAGGGTTGAAACTTAGAACTCTGTTTCTTGTTGAATTCTGATCATAATTCTCTTGGAATACTTCTTAACATTCATCTGTCATTTTCCTCACGATCCTCATACAAATCTCCTCAATATCACGTAAGAATTTTCCGCAAAGTTTTGGTTTTCACAACTCCTTTTTAAATCTTCTAAAATTACCTAACAATTTAATTTCGAACATGCATTCTTCTCCAAAGAAATCCCTCCAAATACATCTAAAAATTTCTAAGGATTTCATGTCAGAATAATTCTGGTATTCTGCTCAGAACTTCTCATTCGAAAGCTGTGTGGGAATCCTTCTCTATATTTGTTTGAAATCAACACTTTGAATTCTTTTAAATTGTACTAAAAACTCCAGGGTTTGTCCACTAGATTCTATAGATTGTTCTGTAATTTGTTATAACCCTTAAAATGCCCCTTCAAATCTGTGATCTTGATTTTTTTTTCAAAATCTCACATTTTAATTATTTTTCTCCAAATCTTGTACCACAAAAGTTATTATTAATCACAGATTTTGAAAAAAAAAAGTTCAAGTTTCAAACTCTATTCAAATTTAAAGCCCCACGATCTTGGGAATCTTCTTAAATCACATTTATCCCTTCAGTGAATTCCTCTCAGCACGTTCTTTAAAATGCGTTCAATTTCGTTTTTTTTGTTGAATATTAACAACCGGGAATTTTTTAAGATTTAAACCGGGAAAAGCGGGAAAAAACCGGGAATTTCAAAATGAAAATTCACTGGCCACCCTGATTTTACCCTACTTCCTCTAGTTAAAACAAAATGTCAAACGCAAATCCAGAATGTTTAAAATCGCTGAGAAGTCATGCATTTTGCACAGGCGTATCGATAGAATAGTGCTATGAACATTAAACGTTGTTTAGAAGCACACATTTTCTTAATCTTTATTTTTTGCTAATACCATGCCCATCAAATAACAAACTAATTTGTCTCGTTTGTTTCCCCCCTCCGTTCACAGGAATAACGAGAAGCGCAAGGAGAAGTCTCGCGATGCAGCACGCTGCCGCCGCTCCCGGGAGACGGAAATCTTCCAGGACCTGGCCAGTCTGCTTCCGATGCGCCAGGAAGATGTCGACCACCTGGACAAGGCATCGGTCATGCGACTATCCATCGCGTACCTCAAAGTTCGCGATATGCTCGAGCTGTGTAAGTATATTAGTGCTAAAAAAGCTTCCGTTCGATAGTTCCCGAAGCGACGTGCAGATGGCTGGTTCGAGCTTGTGTGTACTAAAAGCTTTCTCGTTTGTTTCCTCCGCTTCACATGTAGTTCCAACGATAAACAAACTGAATAAGCAGCATGGTAGCGCCGTCGATGGAGAAGATGATGCTATGCACGCTGACGAGTCCGATGGGGAGGAAGATTCCAAAGCAGCCTTGAATGAATTGGCTTTGGAAAAGGAGAAACTTGCCCTCCTCTCGTTGGACGGATTCCTACTGGCCCTCTCCGCTGATGGCGACATTACGTTCGTCTCGGAAAATGTTCTCGAATATTTGGGCATTTCACAGGTTTGTTGGTTCAGTTTGAACATTCCACAGGGTGTACAATTAAAATTTATCCCATTCGAAACACAGATCGATATGATGGGTCAACCGATCTGGGACTACAGCCACCAGTGCGACCACGAAGAGCTACGGGAGGCGCTGAACGGCCGCAATCACAGTCCCTCGGAGCTGTTGAAGGGAGTGGCCAACAGCGAATGCAAACCGTTGGAAAACCGGGACTTTTTCCTTCGGCTCAAGTGCACCCTCACGAGCCGTGGCCGAAGCGTTAACATCAAGAGTGCTTCCTACAAGGTGATCCATGTCACCGGCCACATTGCGTGCAAGGAAAACGGCCAACGGCAGCTGGTGGCTGTGGCTCGCCCGATGCCGCATCCTTCCAACATCGAGGTACCGTTAGACTCGAGCACCTTCCTGAGCAAGCATTCGTTGGATATGAAGTTTAGCTACGTGGATGATAAGTATGTATCTGAGCTTCTGGTGCGCTGGGACGAATTGATGTAATTGATTTTCGTTTTTGTTCAATACGATTACAGAATGCACGCTCTGTTGGGTTATAATCCTGCTGATTTGATGGGCAAACCGTTGTACGAGTGTCATCACGGAATCGATTCGGATCACCTGATGGGCACCTTCAAGAATGGTAAGTTCATGACGATGTAATGTTTTAACGATGATGACATCAAATTTTAGGAGCTCCGACGAGAGTTTCAGTGGGAAGTACTTTACGCCCCGCGAGCAAGTATTTTTTTGCATTTCGCCTCATTTGCCTCTCGCTTCTGGGATTTTCTTCTGTTGACTGGAAAGTGGGAAGAAAAAGACTTCGAAGAAGCTTTTAAATGGAGGTGGGACGGCGGTAGGCCAATTTCAAACGCAAATCACGTATAATTTTTGAATTAAACTTGGTCGTTAAATTTTATGGGTTAAATGCTTTCGGTCGCGAGGCGTTACGTGCTGGGTTTGATGTTTTCTTTACTTCTGGGTGCATCGATAATGTGATGTTCAACAAATTCTATATGTCACTTTGTTTTTTAATTTGGTTTAAATATTCTGAAACATCTGGAATTATTTCAAAATTCAGTAATTTCTAGATTTGAAGTGACGCCTTCGCACAGTGGTTCCCCTTAGAAAAAAAGTTGGCCAAAACCTCAAAATTGTTGCTAATAGGCAAAAAACAGTTGAAATAGATGTTTTTTAGCTGTACGAAGAAAACTTGAAATCAAGACGTCACAAAAAGGAGTATAGTGGAACCAAAACCAATGCACAATGGTCCCAACCGAATTTACCTATGAAGACAAAGATGTTTGCGCCCAAACCGTCAGTTTTAGGTATATGGTTTCTTAGGGAAAGTTGCTTCATATTTTTTGTTCAATCTTTTTATTTTCGTAAAATTAGGGTGGTCCATAAAATTGGTGAATTAAAAATACAAACTATTTATTATTTGAGATAGACCAAAGCAGTGTTCTAAACAGTTGTAGAACATTAAATTCAAAGCAACTTTGTAGAAGACACAACGTTTTTATCTCTTATGGTTCATGAGTTATGATTTTTAAAACAAGCAGGTTAGGGTGGCCACTAAAATCGATTTTCTTTGAATATCTTTTCATGCGTTAATTTCTTGTAAAAACATTGTTGTGATTACATTTAGAACTTTTGATGACGCATTTTTTTGTTCAAGCAACTAGGTTACTTTCTTTTTTGATTAGAAATTTAAAGGCTCTTTTCTTCGAAAAAATTACTCTTTTCAATTGTCAATATCTCAAAATGGAGCAAACCGATTTTCAAACACTTCATTAGAAACATCGTTTTTTTTTTCATTTTTGGTAAAAAAAACTGCAAGAGCTTTTTGTGTTTAAAGCATTTAATTTAATTTAAAAAAAGTAATATTTTTCAACATTACTAGTTATAACTTTTCAAATAAAAGAGATAACAACTTAGCAAAAATATGCGTCATAAAAAGTTCTTAAAGTATATGGTATAAAAATTTCACGAGAAATGAACGTATATAAGATATTTAAAGAATGTCGATTGTCTAGGGGCCACCCTAACCTGCTTGTTTAAAAAAATCATAACTCATGAACCATAAGAGATAGATATCAAGAACAACATGTGAAAAGGGCATACAAGCTTTATGTAAACAAACGTTATTATGCCCTTTTCTCGGCACCCACATAAAACACACGCAAATCATCAACATCACCGGGTAGAGGGAACTTTTCCCTTCCCGATGATGATATTGGTTTGCGTGGGCCACGCTCGGTTTTTCGAGAAAAGGGCCTACAAAGGTTTGTTTACAAAAAGCTTGTATGCCCTTTTCACATGTGGCTCTTGATATATGGTGCGTGTGTGTATGTTTGTGCGTATTAGTGTGCTTTGAAAAAGGCACTGTGAAGCTTGCTACGGTATACACCGCAGATTATATAACTTAGAAACAGATATTTTCAAAGAACACTTTACTTGTTATTCCTAATATAAAAAATAATAAAAAAAATATATTTTTGCTAATTTATATAATAAAAACTGTCACTAAAAACACTAAGACACTCTTTTTTACCATCCATTTGACGTAACATAAGCCAAGGAACAATTCTTCTGAAGCAACCAAGTTTATAAACACATTATTTTTTGCTATATTTGAGCAAAACAGTAACAAGAAACATTAAGATTTTTCTCAAATTTTTTTGATATCGCTACACTAAAACAGCCATTAAAAAATATTTAATCAACAAAACTGCGCAAATCATTCAATTTAGGATACTCTTAACATGTAAAAATGATAAAAAAATATTGAAATAAAAAAATATCAGCTATAATTTTTGAGGTTTTGGCCAGCCAGGAACCACTGTGCTTCGTGTTGTGAGCCACTGAAAAATGGCAAAAACGCCAGCTTGAAAAAAAACAAGTTTCAAAATTGTCGAATTCTAGCATAAATGTGTATGACTGCCCATAACTAACCATGCAAATCGGAGAATGTCAGAGACAAACCAGCCCAAGGCTAAAAGTCTCTTTAATGAAAAAAAAAAAAAAAAAAAATTGGAGAATGTCTATTAAATCTATTCTATTCTAGTCTATTAGATAAAACATGTTCTAGAGCTGTTGTCATAAAAAAAAACTATAAATTCCATATTAAATACGCTTTAACCTCGTGATTCTGAACAAACGACAGTTCTAGAACAATTTTTATAATGTGGCCACTTTATCGGTCGATCCAGATTATCCGGGGAACCAGAATATGGCCAATATACCACAACATATAGTTTCCATATAAAATACGCTTTGATCTCATGATTCTTAACAAACATAAAAAAATCGCAATGTTCTAGGACAATTTTTATAATGTGGCCACTTTATCGGTCGTTCCAGATCCTCCTTTAGGCCAGTAGAGTTAACCTGAGGGTGTATTTGGTGTCTTTACACCATATATACTTAGTATTATCAATTTCCAGTAATATACGTTAAGTAAAGTGTAACATTATGTCAATAGATAGTGGCATTTCCTACTTTACCGGGAATTCGGGTTTATCCCGGCCCTCTATCTCGGTACGCAAAAGTCTCCGGCCAATGAGACTACCACCAATCGATTCAGCAGAAATTTTCCTTTGAGAATATGTATAACATGTTGACTGACACCGTTTGGCAGCCGAGATATTCAATTTAGTCGCGGTTTTGTCAATTTTTGCCCAGTGTGCCCTGGTTGACTAAATCTCGTCAGGTCTGATGTCCAATACGGCTAGCTTAACCACCGGTCGTTCGTTTACTGCCCATAATCGCATATCAGTCCCATATGGATAGGAAATCAAGCAAAGATGGGACTGATATGCGATTATGGGTAGTATACACCAGTGGCGGTACGAATTGTCGCCGATCTCACCTCTCCATCTCGTCCGGGGCGTGTCGCAATCACTCTTCCTTTGGGCCAACAGTTGCGAGGATGGTTCGGGTCCACTATGACGACTACGTCGCCGATTTTTACCGGTAGCGTACAGGAAGCGTACCATTTAGTCCTACGCGTAATCTCCGGTAGGTACTCAGCTACCCAACGTCTCCAGCACTGGTTGGCGATGATTTCCGTAGCACGCCAACACTAACGCACTACGACGCCGCTGTCATCAAGTGTGGTGAGCGGTTTGGCTCCGTTTGAGCTTCCCAGAAGAGTGTGATTGGGGGTGAGAGCTGGGGCGGCGTTGTCTTCGATCGGAACATGCGTAAGTGGTCTCGAGTTCAGTGTATTCTTGATCTCGGCTAATGCGTTTAGAGACTTGAGGCTGGTCTTCACACTGCGGATCAGGCACTCCCAGCTCCCACCCATGTGTGGTGACGATGGTGGATTAAAGGACCAGGTAGTTTCGGAGCTGGCGAACTCCTTCATCATCGCTTCATGATCGAGCTCTCGTACCACCCGACCTAGCTCGTTGTTTGTGCCCACAAAGTTAGTTCCGCGGTCGCAGTATATGTAGCGTGGAACTCCGCGGCGGGCAATTAGATTGCGGATGGCCATTACGCATGAATCCGTACTAAGAGAGTGTGCAAACCTCAATGTACACTGCTCGCGTGGTCATACAAGTGGCTAGCATTCCCCACCGTTTTTCAACCCTCCTGCTAACAGTGACCTCCATGGGACCGAAGTATTCGATTCCTACGTGGGTGGATGGTCGAGAATGCGCTGCTAATCTTGCCTCAGGAAGGTCAGCCATAATCGGAGGACTCGGCACAGCTCGATCGTTTTTACAACGCTGGCAGTTTCTTCTGACCTTGGCACAGCAAACGCGGATTCGTGGAATGGAGTACTTCTGTCTCAGCTCGTTGACTAGGGTTTCTTGGTTGAGGTGATGATCAATGTGGTCACGGGGTAAAATTATCGGGTTCTTCGCTTCGTCGGTGATGAAGCGGCGGCAAGATGTGCGTCCGCGCATACACAAGATCCCGCTATCGTCGATGAACGGAGATGATTCGAACAGCGGGCTGCTTCGTGGTAACGGCTTTCCTTGAAATATGGTAGCAATCTCCTCAGCGAAAGTATCCTGTTGGGCTTGGCGTATAACACTCTCTTCGGCTGCACGTATCTCCTCCATATACAGTGGACCAGTGCGACTAGGTTGATGCATGATCCTACGGCGACAGTTGGTCAGGAAGCGGAAGAGGAGTCCGACTACGTTGACTAGACGTTTCCAGCTGGAACAATCGGTAACGCATAGCGCCGGCAACGCTGTCGAGACGCGTGCGACTAGATGGCATCGCAGTTCTTCTTGCGTTGACTTGTTCACTTTCGTTTGCTGTGACCAGTCAGCTTCACTCCGCCAGAGAAATCTGGGACCGTTGAACCACCTGCTACCAGGGTTACTTCCACTCACTTGCTATAAAAAATGTTTTTCGAAATTATGAAATCATGAAATAGTATAATGCTAATTAGTACTTGTAAGTTACAAGAAGAGGTCATGAAGTATATGTTTAACACATACAATCTGTCAATATTGCTTCCAGTGCGTCAAAACCTGCGATTTTACGACTCGTGAGCGCTCACTCTGAGTGAACGCTCACGAATCATAAGATCGCTGATTGTGACGCTCTCAAAGCGAAATGAACAGGTTTTATGAGTCAAACACACACTTTACACCCTCTTCTTGTTACTTACAAGTACAACAT